AACCTGAAGCTCCGTCCGCCCGGTATCCTGGTGACTTACTCCCACAGTGCAACTGGCGCGCGCGACGCCGCTTGCATAAGCACAATCGCTTTGATTCCACGTGGGGGCCGTCGGCTATTTTTCCTCTGAGAAAAAAGTCCCTGTATGGCTCCAGGGTGAGTGTTCCAGTCGTCGTGTATCACGAGACTTGTCTGCACTCTCTCAGAGAGGCAGTGTAAACCTACACATTCCAAATTTCCACGCATGTCATTTTAATTGCACTGGGTCCCCGGAAACCGGCTACATTCCTCCCCCCTCCCAAGTTCTGGCTCACGGATTCCTCGTTGCAAAGTAATGTCATCGTTATCCTGCTGAGAGCACACAGATGAACCGCGCGGTGTGGAGGCGAGTGACAACCATCATTCTTCCTACGTTTCTCAATGCAATCCTTCCTCATCCTCTTGGAGAGAGGAAAGAGGATCGCGGAGCAGGCTCACTTCCAAGGGGTATAATTAGCGAGAAGGATAGTTACATGTTTGTGTCTCTACCATCGTGAAACAGAGCTGGAAATCTGATCTCTGCGCAGTTCAGTTTGTGCTGTTCCCTCACTGCGGACATCATCGATTCTCATCTCTCTGGACTGCTCTGGAAGTGACTACGAATCCCCTGCTTAAATCTCGTCTGCTTCTGTCTACTTATGTTAAATTTGTTCTGCTGTAACTTGTATCTTCTCATTCTGTCGTGATTATCCGTTGTTGCGCCCTTGTGGTGCAGCAGGGCGAGTTTTGCTGACTAGTATCGATTGTTATCTCTCCTGTCTGTTATGGAAGTGGTCACGAGTTCCCAGCTTAAATCTCGTCCAAGAACGCCCCAACTTCATCGTCGTATATCTTGGGCCATATCCTACCCAGTTACCCCATAAAAAGTGACAAGCTGGTCGTCCGAAGTATTATTCTAGGGATAGTACTCCGTGATTTTTCCGCTCTGTTATGTTCGAGAATACTGATATTATTAAATATTGTTTTCTTCAATAGTCCGAGTTCCCTTATTTTAGTGGAAGGCGAAGACGACGCCTTTGAAGTCACTGCTGGCTGTGTTGTCACCATCAAAGTTTTACTACAGAGGTCAAGTCTGTTGGATCCCATCGTAGGTGTTTCTTTGAAGTAATTGAAATTGAATTTCGAATTGAAATTAGCAAGCGTTCCTCGATGTTTTCATCGATAGGTTTTATGTGAATTTCCATCTTTTTGTAGTTGTTCTTTCACAGCATTTTGTTGCATTACAGGCAGCTGGACTAGAAGACCAAAGAGTGCATGTGGGCGAGGAAGCTGACGGTGATGCTAGTGGATACAGCGATCAGGAAGATGAGGAAACTGCGGCGGCAGGGGATGGCATCATCAAGGAGGAAGAAATTAAGGAAGTTAAGGTTGGTGCTTCGCTATGACATTTTGCGAAAGCTTTGCTGTAGCAAACTGGGTCCGCTTCCTATCTTTTTTTTCCCAGGGAAACGCGTCATCCACGCGCTAATCCTAAATGGTTTGAGGCGACACGGCTATGCGTTCATAAGGATCACCATACTGCTGTGTTTCTAGACTCAGACAGCGCGGACCTTCAGAGAAAGTTGCTGCAAACAAGGGAAACCGGGTAGCTAAATGCAGCGTAATTCAGAAACAACTGGAGAAGATAAGGTGCCTTTTCCGGTTTTGGACTATTTTGCTATTTTCTTTTCATAGACGCACAGTTTGCCCTCTTCATTCACCATTCAACGGTATCAGCTTATTGCAAGTTGCCTTCAGCAAGTCCTAATACAGCGAGCATTCTTCAAGTGTGCTCGGCGTTAGACCGTAGACACAGTTTAGACGAGCCAATCGCCCAATGTCTCAACGAACTGGTGGGCGTAGTCATGCGATCGCAACGATCCCACGATCAAAATGAGTCGGACGATCCAACATATCTAGCACACACTGTTGTACGATCGGACGATTGGTCCAAGCAGACTATTAGTATGGCCTAAAGTGGAAAGTGATTTACATTCTAGCTCTTTCCTAATGTGCTGAAGTTGGTTTTTTTTTGTAATCGGATGAAATAGGGGATGCCAGCGTCCATTGTTTTGAAATTACTCCAAAAATCATTCCGTCGATCGAGTGCAAGTGTTTGCTTGAACCATGTTTTGTGCTCAAAGCAGTCGTCAGTTGTTCAGCTTTGGAATTTTTGACACATATATGGGCTGTATGACACATAGGTTTGACAGGGAAAATTCGCAATTTCTCAGTAAATATGTGAGGTAAAATTACGCCTGAATGATGCGCGATAAGTGTATAGCCTTCGCACCAGCAAACAGCTTTTCTTTTCAAATTTTTAAGATAATTCGATATGTGGAAATATAAACTAGGTTTTTACTTCCACATTGTTCCAATACCACAGTGCATCATTATTGTGCGCATGAGTCAGTCATAAATAAATGTACAGTGTTGTATAAAAGAAGCTTTTTATCTGCAATAAGGTCCTAATGAGTGGAGCGTAAAGTACTAATTTTGCAGAAGAAGAAGCCATGGGAGAAAAATCGTCCACAAAAGAAGAAAGGTGGTGCAAAAAAGAAACCTCAGAAACAGCAAGTGAAAAAAGTGAGTTCAGCAAAGTGTACTACCGCCTTACGAGTTTTCAGACATTTTTTCATAGGTGGTTGCGGCGGCACCGGTTGCTCCTGTCGTAGTTGAAGAAGATGAGAAGAAGGAAAAGGAAAAAGAAAAAGAAAACAAAAATGAAAAGGATGACGACGATGATGACGAGGTGCTTTTTTGCTAGCTTTATTCTTCCCAAGCACGTCGTAACAAGAATTTGCTCTTTCTAGGGGTCATTGTCATTATCAGATGCGCCTCCCAGGTTTGAGGAAAGCGATGTGGAAGATGACTGGGAAGAAGGGTCTTTAAGAAAGGTGAATTGCTAATCCATTTCATTTTTTCGGGTGCTAATTACATGAGCAAAGAAGTTTTCAGGTAAATTTAGATGCCAAATCTCATAAGACCCATCTAGTCCATTGTCCACACTTCCCTTCAGAAAAATACGAGTGGTGGTGAGTTTACGACTTTTTTCTTCGAATGAGGAACAATTTCGATTGGAAATATTTTCAAGGTGGTTGGTGTTGACAATGTGGGACAAGAAGCAGCGTCGACTTGTGTGCCCCACTGTGGCTTGCAAGACTTTAGTTGACGAGCAAACGGTAGGTTATCCTCACGATCAGCTTTTTTTTTGTTTAGTGAAAGCTGCCAGGCTAAGGTGTCGGATTTGTTGACATATGATCTAAATTTAAGGTGGAAATGCGGTTTTCGGCGCCACCAGTGAAAGGTATTTACAATTACCAATTAGCCGTTCGGTCTGACTCATATATGGATTGCGACTACAATAAGGATATTAAGGTTTGGGTTTGGCCCATTTGGGTTCATTTTCTGAAGGCATCCTTTTTTATTTGTTGTAGCTGTAAATTTACTGTTATTTCAGCTCGAAGTGAAAGAAGCGAAGGAGATAGTGTTGCCTAAATATGAAGATACCGAAGATGAAGACGAGAAGGTGATCGCATCGAGTGATGAAGAATACACGGAAGGATCGGATTCCGACGAGGAGTAAACGCTCTGAAATCGGGCCGAAGGATATGGGTCTTTAGACAACATGAGCTGCATTTGTGCACAATATTTCTCAAGCAGAGGGTACGGTGTTTTGGTAATGGCCGCTTTGAGTTGTGCGCTTTTTGCAGCGTCATATGTTATTTATGTCGAGGTCTACTCGTGTCTAATTGTGATACATAGATATTTCAATTACTAATTTATTAGTGTCAAATAGATCTTTCCCACTTATAATATCGTAGATGTTCCGCTATCAGGTACAATTGTTCAGTGTGGATCGTAGTTGCCCGTTCTGATGAAGTTCGAACATCTGAGGCACCTGAAATATTGTACGATCATGAACGGGGCCTTCTTCTGTAGAGTCGGGCGTGAATTCTATTCGGGGTATCTGTTGTTTCCTTATATTTTATCAGCAGCCGAAAACTTGTCATGGCGGTACTTTGAAAACGGAGTTTAGTGGACATTTTTGAGTAACTTCGTTGTATAGAAGCCTTATTCTTTTTTGTTTCTAGGTTATATTAATAGGTTATTTTAAAGTTCTGTGGAAGTTCTTCCAGCTTTCAAAGTGCCGCCAGTGTCGTTTTCTACGTCTAATCGTTAAGAAATTGCGATGTGTTGCGATATCTGTATATGGCCGGCTGTTATGTTGTTGCGTTCCGCCATCAAATTCTCTAACGTTTTTTTGTGATGAAGTGCTTATTTGAAGCATGAAATTATAAATCATTTCTTCTCCGTTACCAGCGAAGGTCAGGGTTTACTATTTTATTATTTTGCCTCAATCTCCTTACTTTTCCCGTGTCTTTTGTCTAGGTTCCTTGACCGAGCTTGGCAAAAAGGAGGTGGCGAGGAGGGAGCGGGGACGAGAGGAAAATCTTAATGGCGTTGTAATACTAATCATGTTAAACAATTTATGCCACGTGAGAGTAAAAGCGTGTAAGTGGCACCGCCGATAGTGTAGCGCAAGCGCGCTAGTCAAATCCGACGTGAACTCGGCCTAACCCCAGCATGTTTCAACTCTATATCCATCGTAGCGGTTATACTCGACCCTGACTGGGTGCCCGACAGAGCTCCTCCCGTCGTAGCGACAAAAGCAGACTTCAGCGGAACGAGTGGCATCGCGTGCTGTGCGATGTACCACGTACAATGGCACATTCTTTTTAATTTGACACGAAATCACTACAGCACGCTCTGACTCGTCCGCTGACCCTGCCTTCTTGTCGCGACGGGGCTTCTGTCGAGTACCCCACCAGACCTATCTGAGAGAGCGAATATTGAGTGACCTGTGGGCTGATTTCGCAAGCCATTGGTGGAACATATCAAAGATACCACTGCGATTCGAAATGAGTAAAACGCATGGTATATCCCGGAAGAAGACTGACTAATGCCCATATTGGTTTATCCTTTCTGATTCCATCAACATGAGTGGAGAACTGTCGCGAGAGCAGAGTTCTCAAACTTGTTAATGCAATGGCCACAGTGGGACACCCGAGTTCTGCATAGGATACTCTGCGTGAGTAACCTACTTTGGGGCCAGAGCAATTCTCCGACACTTTGCAATGTTCCCACTCTGACGGCTAATACCGAACTTATACGTGCAACAGTCAGAACTTTCCCACATATGTAATTTATTCACGTAATGGCAAAAATGCATGGGAAGCTTTGAACAAAACCACGTTCAAAGCAACGACCCTCAGATGAGGTCGTGTCGAGGAAATTCTATTTTGTGGATGGGTAGGTAGCCCACAGTACCACAGGTAAGCCGGTGTATCAGCTCGAAATTTAGCGGCAATTGCGCTAAAGCCTTACCAAGTAATCTGATGGTGTTGGTGAATAATATGAACTTATGGACGAGGTTCCTCGTGCACACCGAACGACACGCAACGTGATTTTGAGATAGCGTCTAGTTCAAGTATGCGATCATGTCATGGAGCAGACAAGTTTGGACAACTCGTCCGGAACGCCCATGCTGCATTTTAGGTCGTGGAAAGAGGGGTTTTATTGTCAGCTGGCTTCAATCGCGGTTTAATTAGCTCTTTTTATTTTCCGTACAACTCGGATCAATTAACATTCATTTTCGGCCGTGTAACACCATCAATTTGTTCTGGCCCGTAAGGTAGCTTCCCCGAAGTGGGACTGAAATCCTTAAATTTTTCTCTGTCTTCCCAAATGAGAATTGTTCTGATATTAAATATTTGATAATGTGTGGTAGAGGCGTTGATTTGACATGATTATGTGGGGGGGAAGGGGGGGGGCCCTACATCAATATGTATATGTATATAGAGGTTGAAGTGAAAACATCGCACTGAACTAAGAAATTAGTACCGTTCAAAACAATAAATTTAAAGACTTTCTCTTCGCAACCTTCCGGGAGCTTCCTTAACGACCCCTGGCTTACTGGTATGAGCTACCGGTTCCCTAGTGGGTCGATATCTATCGTTATGAACCTTTAGCGATGAAGGTAATTAGTCGCAACTCACCTCCGATATGTCGTCCACAGATGAAAATATAAGGGAAGGTTATTTGTCCTGTCATTCGATGCAAGTCGACTTGCAGTTGTCGCTGCCAATCTTCGTGACCAACGAGCTCTGAAAATGGAGGCAGATTTATCTCTCGAAGGCAACTTTTCATAAAAAAATCAATTTTTTGAGGTTCTAATGGTAATACCACACAGCTTCAGTCGTGGTTTGATATATTATCGTGAAGCTTTACCAAGGAAGTAGGCTGCAACGTCCGCGTAGTTCACCGCGAGTAGGTGCTTGGCTCGCTGACAAGGAACACATTGAACCAGCGTGTACATCATATGGATATCGCTTCGCTTGACGTTGAATATATCCTAAAGTCACTATAAAATTGGGCAGTTGTTCGAGAGCCTTGCCTGTCACCCTACCAATTAGATATATCTCTGGTAATACTGTATGGGGCGGAGTGGTCTATGGCAAGTGGCACGCTTACCACGCGAGCAGTCCGGGGATCAAATCCTGGGTCGTGAGTCGCCCGGGCCAACCAAGCCTTCCATCCCTCCGGGTCGGTTAATTGGTACCAGACTTGTCTGGAGGATAAAAAAACACTGACTTGTACATCGGCTGGCCCCCGCAAGTCATTGTATAGGCCACATCGCATTCAAACGCCACTGCGAATGTACAAATGGAAGTAGAATGCGTGCCGCATCCCAAAAAGGGATTGATCAACGGCAAATGCTTTATCCTTTATCCTTATTAATACTGTATGTACGGGTACCCGGCCTGTTGCGCGGCGAGAATATGCAAGATCAGCGGACGACACAGCGCGCACCTGTACGATGCTGGACGTGTTGATAGGCATTCTTTTTACTTTGAAGCTGGAGCAAGCGCAGCGTCGGACCGACTGCGCGCGGTTGCCGCGTGGCGGGCCAGCCGTCGGTACCCCTCTTGTGAACGAAAGAAGAGAGATCAACAAAACCACTCAGAACACGCAAGAAGATGTGACCACCTTCCCCTTGCCCATTGATTTCCGGCACTGACGCAACTCTACATCGGGCTCGCCCTCCTCAAACGTCAACGCTGCTCTCCCGCTCTTCTGATGCTTAACGGCTAGAAACCAAACAGCCGAAACCGGGGAGCGTCCGCCTCGCAGTACGTCGGCTCCGTATGCTAAGTCGCCAGGGTCACTTCGACGCGTAAGCTGCGTGTCGTCAACACAGTCAAAGAAAGAATCGCCTGACTCCACTCGCTAGATTTCTCACTCTTCGACCTCCGTGCCTTATTAACGGTGACCCTTACAATGCGGAAGTCCCACAAATTCTGCGCACATTTTCATTCTCCTGATTGAGTTTCTGGAAAATCTTTCCAGCAACCGCAACCATTGATTGTTTTGAAACATTCTTTGTAATGCTCTCCCAAAATGGTCTAAGACTTATTTTTATTGAAATATACAGTGGTTGAAACTGACCTGCATATGAATAACCCATCGAGTGAGCTGGTCTTCCGTTGTTGTAAAACACCGGATACTGAAAAACCTGTTAATATGCATATTTTTCTCTTGCCTTACCTTTTTTTTAGAAACCCATCATTTCATCACATTTGCCTGTTGAATTAATGTGAACAAGGAATTGTAGAAGCACATCTAAGCGTGCATCAAATAAATAAATAAATAAATTCAGCTATTGCTTACCGCTTTTCTTTACTTCCCGTTGTCATGTTTCCCTCTTTCGTAGAAACTTTTACATACTTGACCTTATTTCACTGCTGGCTGCAACTCTCGGCACTGCAGTGATGATCGGGAACGCTCCGCTGGAAGTCCGTTTCGTTGATGGTTACTTCTGGGTTCTTCAACAAGGAATACGCCGACCTTAAAATGAAATTTCAGCTATTGGTTACTGTTCCATCGACATTTCAAGGGATTATCGAGAAATCTGAAGTCATTCGTGATGCTTTTCAATGAAATGGTATAGATTAAGAGTTCTGGAGAACAATTACTGAACAAGGCTGTCCCTTTCCGTGAACATATTTTTGAAGTTATTGTTTTATTTTATATATTTTGGTATTTTGTGATTGCCGTCTTGAGTTTCGGAAAACTTCAACTTTCTTATATATTGGCGATTGAAGATAAAGTAAGGAATTTTATGTGATCTCTGTTTGATGCGCTAAGAAAAGGATGCTAGGGTTTACTCAAGATTGAGTGATGTTGTCAACAAAGAGTTGAGCCTCCGAAGGGAAATTCATAGGCGTTGAGAATGCAATGATCGAAGACGTTGATAGGAGTCAAATTTGGCCTCTGTCCTTGGAGCGGGGAGAATGCGGAGACAACATTCAAAACAGGGCATTCGTAAATCCCATGGTAGGCTGCCACTATGATTAAAGCCCAAGAAAGGATGCATCCGCCAAGCGAGAACCAAAGTTGCTCTGAATAGCCCAGATCCCTTCTCCTACCTAGCTTTAGTCCCCGGTCTCATCCTTGAATTCCCCACCCCCACACCCCCCCCACGAAATTAGTCGCTAATTTGTATAGTCATGATGAGCTGAATTTTCAAAAGAAGTTGAGCCCAGAAAATGCGAAGGGTTTCATATACAAAGCGGAACTCACCTACCTGTTCAGCGCTGGATTTTGGTATCAATGGCCGTCTATGAACACCCACGCGCCTTCCGTTGTCGACAAGAGTTGGCCATATCCCTGAAAACGCAAACTCGCCTATCTTTCATCTTTTATCCATATTAATATCGTAGTCCATGGATTTGGCACATCCTAGCCTCCGCGAATAACGGGTTTCTTTTTTTTTTTTTTTTTTTTTTTTTTTTTTTTTTTTTTTTTTTTTTTTTTTTTTTTTTTTTTTTTTTTTTTTTTTTTTTTTTTTTTTTTTTTTTTTTTTTTTTTTTTTTTTTTTTTTTTTTTCCTTTTTATTTTAAATATGATAACAATCATGCCGTTGGAGCGAAGACGGAGTCTCTACTAACCTCTATTTTGGATTTTAGATTTTTTTGTATTAGCTTCTGTTTTCACCGCAATCACGACGCGAAAGTTACCACAAGGAAGCTGAGTCATCCGCATGAATTTATTCATAACGTAACGGCAAACAGCGTCACCAAAAATATTCATGTCTTCACACAGATTTGTGATTGGAAGCTACTAGAAATTCGATTAACGGAAGGCCACTTACGAGGTGCCTTGATTGTTCTGTGCATAAGTCAAATGCGCAAAGGAGCTCCGCTAGAAATTTTATAACGGAGACGGATTCTTGATTTGAATGGAGGAGATCACAATGAGGCATGACAGCTTTGGCCGTCCGCTAAAAAGCTCCAACCAGGTTCAACCGTGCGTTCACACCATTCGAACGAGGGGATCGCATTTGTGGTTGGTTTTGGTGAAGCGGTCACATTCAGGGGTGGAGGTTAGTAGTTGTTGGGTGAATGGTTTTTGGGTGTACTGGTTTTTGAGGATTTTGTGATGTTAATTGGAGAGGTAGGTATAAATTAAGAGAGAGAAGTGGGCGGAGTTGGGCTGTATTGCTGGTCTGAGTCAAATACTATAGTAACATGATGCTGAGGGTAGTGGTCGGGGTAGGGAGAAGGATGTCCTATTAGGGAAGCCTCCTGAGTGGTGGTGGGGGGGTCGCGAAATTTTTGAAAATGTGCGAATATCACGGTTCACCCTGGCTCCAACGCGGAGTCTTCGCCTCTAAAAAACCTACAGGGTGGCTAAAAAGTAGCGAGCCGTGGCTTTGACCGCTTGCTGGCACTGAGCCGTGGAGTATTTTCGAAATGCTTTGGAACTGTTTGAAACGCTTTGGAGCTATGTAAGAAGCTTCATAAGTCGTTTGGTCCAAAGTTCATCTGAACTCTCGCTATACTCTTGCGATTTCTTCACACCGGCCCATAATCAAGAGGCTGCCCAAATACGGTTGTCGATACTCCAACTCAAAGCGGCTCGGTATTCCCTCTTCTACTCTTCAAATCGTCTTCGCTGCTATCAAGATTCAGGTCCACAGTTCTGGGATTGGGAAGCGTGGAAGGTTGAGAATCGTGCACACTGAGAGAGAGGACTAGGGCGATCATCTAGAAGAGGACCCCTAGACCGTAGACATTGCAGTGTGTGCACGTTTCACCAGAAGGTGCCCATTATGGCGATAAATGTCCACTTCCACACCCCAATGGTACCCAACTGGTCACAAACTTTCCCAAACAACGCAATGGCGAAGGTTCGAGACGGGGAGTATCATATGGCCGAGTGTGTCTCGTCTTCGTGTGAAGGCATTGTCATTGGCGGTCGTGTCACGGCTGTCAGCGTTCATCGGCTATTTGCTCTCAACACCAATCCCGTCTATCCTAGTCGTTCTCAATAGATCAGATAGTCGTACTTCACGAGAATGGATATTGTCAACACGAACTGACCCCTCTCGTTTAAGGATGATGCCACAAATTCAGGAAGAACTATAACTCGGGTAAGAAAGACGTAAACACGCCAAAATAACAGTAGCACAACCAGCACAGTTAAAATTATTAGCTCAAAAGAAATGTACGCAAATCTTAAGAGCTTCAAACTTTCAACAAAAACAAAACTTGACCTCGTGATATTAATTGAGTTATTTATACAAGGGCGGAAGTGGTGTAGTGGCAAGTGGCACGCTTACCACGCGAGCGGTCCGGGGATCAAATCCTGGGTCGTGAGTCGCCCGGGCCAACCAAGCCTTCCATCCCTCCGGGGTCGGTTAATTGGTACCAGACTTGTCTGGGAGGATAAAAACACTGACTTGTACATCGGCTGGCCCCCGCAAGTCATTGTATAGGCCACATCGCATTCAAACGCCACTAATAATACAAATGGAAGTACATACGAAGTATAAGGATTTGAAAGAAGATGATAAGCAAATGCTTTATCCTTTTACGAATCCATAAAGTTACGCACCTTCATGTTACAGAACTAAATTTTATTGGATATATTATCATGTGGGGTCAAGCAAGAATAGCCCAATTTCCGTTTTCGACCAGTTTCGCGTTCATATTCTGTCATAAGGCATGAAAAAGTAATTTCGGTTGTTCGACGATGGGACTTATGCTGGACAACTATAGAGATTTGTAGAGTCGACTTCCGCCTACATGTCAAATACGAGCAATGGAGGGGACAATCAAAAAAGGGCAGCATTTAGTCTCCTTAGCTTAGATCAAGCTCTGGCTAATTCAATGCCCGCACGCTCTCAGACTTAGAAGTCCAACGAGGTCCGTGAGGTGGTGTACCATTAAAAGGTTTCCTGAAGCCGTTCGTTGAGCTTGGGTTGCATAGTCAGAACTAAAATCTCTACAAAGACTATCCAACATTAAATCGATTCACGAAATTGCGTAAGAGCTTCAGGCTGAAGCAGTTACGGTAGGCCTCCTTGAGCTGACGACGGTGACAGATGACGTCATATTCTGAAGACGGTGAGGGCAGTGAAGGAGGGCCTGCGTCTACTTATAGAGGGACATTTAGGGAATACTTGCTGAAGAACTTCCGTCAACGACGGCAATCTCTGCGAAAAAAAAATCGCCGAAGTGCGACATGGGCAAAATTTTCTTTTTTCACCACCCTTCCCCCTGCCCCCTAAATTTCGAAGCTCAAGGAATCAACAATACTCTTTTTTCACCACCCACCCTAAAACTGGTGGTTTCTTGAGCTTCAAAATTTCAAATGGGAGTATTGTACTTCAGATCCTAGCAGAATCAGTGGGAATTTATTGGAGGTGAGATGGAGATGCAAAGATGTTTCAATGAAAAAGGATGTCCGAAGTAAACGATCATTGAAAAAATGAAATGTACCTGCTCTGGAACGCTCTTCTTCAAAAGGAAATGAATATTGCGTTTCTGATGAATCGGAAGACGTTTGAGTTTGTTCGATACCGTAGTCAGCGTAGTCATCAAGTAAAGTACTGACGTTTTTCTGCCCTTCTAATGATGTTGATGGTTCGTGTGCAGTTGTGGAGGCGAGAATCAGGCCGATATTGAGCAGAAGCACAATAATCAACATTACCGCAATAAGAATTATCACCGGTGACGTCACTGTGAAATAGTTTTAGCTAGTGAAACCAATTATAGCTGCGGATCGAAGCACGCGGATGTTGAGCGACGGACCCGGTGCGCACCTCGCCGTCGACCCGCCCACCGACTTGAAAATCTGGGACCTCGACCAGCTCAAACGAGCAGGGCTTTGCTAAGGACCACATAGCACCTACTGAGCCAGATTTGATCTCCACTACCCGATTTCGCTATCGCGGAATGTGCCCTTGAAGTGAGCACTCCTCCTTCTCAAAAACCTACATATTTTTTGTCTGTCACAGCGACCAAAATAAAGGCGATTGACTGTTGATTTTTTCAAAACAAGATCTGAGAGGTTTGG